TATCTTAATTTTAGGTCCTGCCTGTGAGTCACAGACATGCGAGATTGGTTTGGGTCAGGTCAGAGGAAGCCTTTAATGAAAGGATGGTGACTGAATCCACCTCCGAGAAGTCCCTGCAGGCAGGATACAGGCTCTGAGCCATTGCATAAGCACTTGCTGCCTTTTGCCCCTAAGCATCACTCATGGCCACGTGCCACTGTCTGTTGGTCCGCCATCGGAACCTGGGGGGACTCGTTTCACCTGTTTCACTCATCTGAAAGTAAGTATTCAGCTGAGAGGGTCCCCTCCTGTATTTTACAGGGGTATTGTTACTCCAAAGGGAGACTGAGCCCACCGGTCCTGTGCATCTTGCATAACTACAATTAATTTCTCTGAAGAAACATCCTCGGGTGTTTGCAGTAGATGAAATGAAGTCCAGCCTTTGAGTCTCGTTCTCCCATCAACACCAAGGTAGCAGCAGGCCTACAAAGGCCTTGGAAATCTGATTTGACTCCCTTCAGCCAGTGGTTGGGAAGAGAAAAGCCCAGGGGAATTTCTTTTTTATCCATGAGGACGTGAAATTTCATTTGTGGCTGACAATGCTCTTAATCCTGTCTTTTTATTGATGAAGAATCTCTGGATAGCTCAACTGTTTCTCGGTTTCCCTAGACAGCAATTGACCTTGTTTCAGCTATGCATCAAAATGCAGTGGCAATCAAGGTGCTATTGATCTAAACCTAATGGCCAGCCACTCAGGAATTTCACCCGGAAAAGAAAAATCAATGCCACCTTATTATTATTATAATTTTTTTTTGTGTTAAGATATTATAATGGAAAGGCATAAGAGTCTGGCCAACTCCTTACCGTTAAGCAATATACCTGCAGGGCCAAGAACATTGGGTCAGGCTCTGGTAAGGTAGCCAACCAGCTACAGATTGAAGTGACTCTAGGGTTAAACAATTTTCCTTGATTGCATGCTGCCATCCACGTCTCTTTCTGCTGACCTTCCCTGAGGCATGCGAGCTGCACTGCTATGTGGGATTCGGGAGAGGACGTCTTGAGCAACGCGTTAGTCCTGTTACTGGAGGAGCTCTGTGTGGGAAGGATGCTCCCTGTCTTGTCCTTGCCTCATTTTGGATGTTTTCTTCCCCTCCTCCCCCATCCCAAGGGGAAAGTGTCACTCATAATCTGCAAGATTGGTTTACAAGCCTGGTTTAAATGCACGGCAGGTAAGCACCGGCCACATAGATATACTTAGATCCATGGTAGGACTGAGCAAAACCACAGGTTCCCTCCTGTCCCATTAAGTGAGGCATGCCAGGATGCATCCTGTCGCCCATAGGCTGAACGATCCAACATCGACTGTGTCCAGGCTGCTGAACTCTCTTACCTGCCAAAACAAGGTGGTTTTCTCCTTTGGGCTTCTCAGGAGAATGTGTGGCACTTATTTACTGCAGCATTGTCTGGGAGAGGGCACAGGCTGAAGCCAGGCTACGGGGTGTGCTAATACTTTGCCGGTGAGAGTGATTAGGGAGCATGCTTGAGCCTGTAAAGTAGACGTTCTCAGTTACTTGGGATGGTAGAGCTGTCAGCCATAGAGTACCTTCATGAGCAGTCCTGGTTTAGGTCTTTTGCAGAATCTTATCTGTCAGCACTCCAAATACTTTGGAGCCAAATCACCTTTTGAAATGACACTGAGTCTCGAGCCTCCTTTTAATCAGCCAAAGGGACTTGGCTCCTGCATCACGTAAGCTGATGAACATTGAAGAGCAAGGGATGGTACGGGGCAGTCCTGACTCCTGACAACACCGACGTGCCGGTGATGTTCTGAAGTGCTCCTGGGTCTCAGATCACTTCAGCATACTAAATCACTTTCCTCTGTGGCCTCCGCTTACTTTTCTCCTCTTGTCGCTAAGGAGTGTGAGAAGAACTGAAGGATGGTTTTCATTTCCCATGATTTTGGAGTGTCCCTATGAAAGTTAATTTTAAAGAGGTGGGAGTGACCCTCCCTCATAATCCATCCCTTTCAAGATGACCACCTAAAACTACATAAGGAACATGTACCAGTCTGCACACCAGCTACCTCTGGTGTCACTGTGCCTGTAGGGCCTCACTTGCACCCATTCAAAGTGAGTATTTTCCACGAAGACAGTACAGCTGTCAGAGGAGTGCCTGGAGTGAGACCTGTTTTTCCAGAGCCAAGCCTTATCTGGATGATGGGCGAGCGTAGAGACAACATGAAGGGAATCTGATAGCACAGCTCGAAGGCATGTGATAAAGCTCCCTTAAAATGGCGTTTTCATGAGTGCTGCTCAAGTCAGACAATATCCCTTTGTTGGAATGATGTGACTGCATGGAAGTCTGAGGTCTGACCCAAGCTGTGCTGCAGCCATTGATGCAGTGACCAACTATTGACCTCTTAATCCATTTTTCTGGGAGGGGACCTGTTTGATTTGTGCATCTTCCAATTTCTGCTACAGCTGTGGCATATTTCTGCTGACCATTTCAGTTTGCTTGGACAAACAGCAGGGCTAAGAATGCTTGTGAGATGGTTTACAGTTTTGGGTGAAGTCTCTCTGGCTTCCGTGTGGTTGATGGTTGGTGTCACATGTCAGGGAGCCTTGTACATTTTTCAAGCCAGCTCAGGGGAACTGAGCAAAGTCTCCTGACAACTTACTCCTTAGTTGCTGAGTTGTTCTCAGCTTCTGCCTGTGGTGATGTACTTCCACTTTGTTTCTTTGGGAGGGGTGAGAGGAAGAAGGGGAAGGTTTCTGGGCAAGCTGGCACAGCAGAATGATGCCCTAAGCAAGTGGTCCCACCCAACGCGGGCAAAGCAGTGGCTGTTCCCCAGCTGAGATTGTGACGGGGTCCCACCCAGCCTCTGAAGCCTCCTAAAGAGCAAAATTGGGATGGCTTAGCAGCCCATGGGAGGTCTTTCAGGTTTCCAGAGCTCGGTGGGGCGCAGGGGATGGAAGATTGCTGTTCTACAAGCATCAGTCCTAGGCAAATGTTAACATGTTGGCCTCCCCGCCTGCTCTTGAAAAAAAACGCTTGCTTCCTCCAAAAGCAGCTCCACCTCACACCAATACGTCTGTGCTGACACAGGCTGATGTTACCCTGCTGGGTGTGGGAAGAGGGCATGGTCCTCTGTTCGTTTAGCACAGGCATGGTTGCATATGGAAATGAGTTTTCCTTGGAAAGGCAGAGCACCTGCTCCCAGTCTTACCTGCTGCAAAGGGACTGAGGGCTTTGGGACTAATCCTTTAGTGAAACTGAGTCCAAGCATCCAAGCTAATCCGCAAATTGGTTTAATTTTGCCAGCAGGTTCCCCAGGTTTGAGGCCGAGAGCCATGTAGTGTAAATTCCATGGGATCCCGCCATGGTGTATTTTCACTTTTGTAGCTTTCCTGCCCGTTCACTTAAGACAAGCACTGGACTATTTGACAACACAATAAAATGGGTTGTCTGCATATTAAACTAAGTGCTGTGAATGCAAACATTGCAGCATACCCAGTTAACCTCTCCTGTAGGTTAAACAAGTTTCTTGCTTTATTTGTAGTGTAAGAACAGAAGATCACCTCTTAGCAATGGTCTAAACAGCTCTTGCAAGCCAAAAGGGAGACTGCAGATGTTTGACATCTGGGGTTATTTAGAGGAAATAAAATTAGGCTTTTGCTAGCCATTGCTCTGTTAGAGGATCTCTGATATAAAAGGGAAATAGAGAGAAAGCATCAAGTAAAAATACATATGTATGTGTGTTTGTGTGTGTAATTCATGTTTTCCTCCAGGCAACACACTGGGGACAGGTAATCCTACTTTAATAATTTGGCCTTACAGGATCTAATATGAAGCTCTTTGAAGCCAGGAGCATTTCTGTGATTTCTGTGGTCAGGCCCAGAAACAAAACCCTGAGCTCATTGCTGCTGTGGCGGATACGTCCGTATTTCAAAAAGCATTTTCCTTTGGCTGCACCTGAGCAAAACTGATGTCCTCGTGAGAAAGTGTTTGGTCTGGAAAAAAAGTACTTTTAGCCTTCTGAACCGTCCCGTTGATTTCTCACACCTTAGTGCAACCCACACAAAACAGAGCCAGGCTGGTGGTCTGGTGAGACAGAGGATGGCTGTTGTTCCTGGGCAAAAGGAGACGACCAGCTCCTGGGGCTCAAGTGACTGTGTCTCCGTGTCTTCCAGGTGAATCTGGATGGAGATGGTCAGGCTGACAAACCCGGTCACAGCCCTTCAGTCTGCTACCCCGGGGCAGCCTCAGAGGCATGAAAAGAAGTAGGGCACCCAGAGCAACACAGGGGATTTGAAACCCCCAACCAGAGGAATTTTAATTCCTCTGGGTCAGATCTGATCGTGTCTTCAGGTGGTGTTTTTTCGATTGATTTGAAGAGTGCTGCCTGCTTCTTTTCCTTCAGCTGAGTTTTCAAGGGGTAGTAAAGCACTTCCAGGGGTGAAGGGTAGCTGCAGAGGCTGACAGCTGAACACACCAGCTGCCTGCCCTTCGTAGTTGCAGATTTCTGAGAACTGAAAATCGTTCTTTTATCTTTTATCTTTGAGTGGTTTTTTCCCCATCTCTCTTCTCAGAGTGTTTAGAGGAAAGGGACATTGTCTCCAGAATGACAGTGGTGACCTGTGGGTGGATGGAGGAGGCATCACAGCCCTTCTCTGACGGGGCCCACCATTACCAAGACATCTTGGGAAGTCCTCTGTCACCACACATTGTCATCCACTCCCGTTCACCCCATGGATTTGGGGTGGGCTTTTTTTGCCTCTCCAAGTGGGGATATATTTGGAGAGCTAGGGCAGGGTGTGTGCATGCGTGGGACTGTATTTCTTCATGGAGTGATACCCGAGGCAAGCTGATTTGAGTGTCTTGATGTGTTATTCATTGCCTTTGTCCTTACTTTGGTATCTGTTTCCTTTCTTCATCAGGAAAATGGGAGCCACTGCCCCAGTGTGACCTGTCTCTAAAGTACACCAAAACAAAGACCACCCATCCCTCAGACACCTCCCACTATGGATGGCTTGGTTGAGCAGAACAGCGTGCTAATGCACAATAAGATCACCGAAGCTGGGAAAAGGAATGGTTTAATTAATACAAGGAACTTGGTGGCAGAGAGCCGAGATGGTCTGGTCTCTGTGTACCCAACCCCCCAGTACCAGAGCCACCGAGCGGGCAGCCTTTCCTCTCCAAGCTGCCTGGAGAACGGCAGGAATGACCCCGTCCAGCAGCTCCTGGACCCCAACATGCTGCAGCAGACGGTGGAGTCTCACTACCGGCCCAACATCATCCTCTACTCAGAGAACGTGCTGCGCTCGTGGGGCGAGAGCATTGGCTCGGAGTGCTGTGAAACGACCTTCATCGAGGACCGCTCTCCCACCAAAGACAGCCTGGAGTACCCGGACAGCAAGTTCATCGATCTCTCAGCCGATGACATCAAGATTCACACCCTCTCCTATGATGTGGAGGAAGAGGAGGATTTCCAGGAGCTAGAGGTCAGATGTCATTTGGGATATGTGGGGAAAGCTGGGGGGAGGTGAGGATATTTGGGGTTAAGTGTATAGCCTCCAAGAGCTGGTCTGCAGGAGATCAGCTGCTTTGGAAGCTGATCTGCATGGGATCAGTGGTATCATTCTCTCCTCCAGCCAGGACGGTGAGCAATCGCTCATCTTTATTTGTTGGGTAACGTCCCAACTCTGTGGACACTAATGGCAAAATTCCTACTGGCCCTAACGGAGATCAGCATTTCCCTCCTGCCCCTGAATGGGCTGGTCAGAAACTGCAGAAGACCTATGATGTGCTTAAATGCTGTGTAAGGTTGGGGCTGGGACCATCTGTCCATGTACATGGAGCTTGTCTTAGTCAACAGGCCAGCATCACCTCTTGCTTTCTCCTGACTTGCGCTGGGCATAAAGCAGATTGTTTTGCCTACTGGCTCAAGCACAAAACATTTCTGTCTCTGAATGAACACAAAATCATAAGTCTTTGGGTTTCAAGCTGCAATGAATTCCGTGTCTCTGAAATAAAAGATTTTATTTCTGATGGAGTGAAACACTTCATTAAATCTCAAATGCAATGTTTTCTTTTAGGTTCCTGTGCTTCGTTGATTTCTCACAGTAAAGTAAGATACATTTTGTTCTCCAAACGGGGCAGACTATGGAAATCAACTTCATTCTTTCTTAAATGATGCATTTTTTACTTTAAAAAATCTTTTTGGCTTTGGCTGAAACCAGCTGCCCAAGTGCAACACAGATTTGCGTTTGCCAGCGTGTGTGGGAATGGAGGGTGTGCATAATGCTGCTGATCCCAAAACTTTCTCCAGCATTGACCACAGACTCCTAACCTAGTGAAGACCATTTGAGATCAAGTTGAGATCAAGTTGAGATCAAGAGACTATTTGCTCATGTTTCTCTGTTGCAGGGGTTTTCTCTGCTGAGACCTAACAAGTCCTTAAACTTCTATTTTCACCTCCTATAATACCAGAGTCTCACCCTGTGATCAGCACAGGGACAACCCAACAAGAGCCTGACTTCTCTTTTATTCTCTTTTCTCTCTGTATTGATAAGGTAGGAAGAGAGAGGTGTTTTTCCCAGTGTGTGCCGGTAATGCAGTATTCAATGCCTCTGCAGGGAGACAAGAAGTTTCTCTCTGAGGCATGTGAGGGTGTTAGCTCAAATCACACCCTTCTACAGCATTTCAAAATTGGCTGTGGGAAGTCTCGTTTTCCTAATCAAAACAAAATCCCTAGTTGCTGCCTTTTTGCCCTAGTTTCTCTGATGCAGTAGTGATGCAAGTGACTGTAGCAGGCATGTCATTGCCTAATGGTGTTATTGACACATCTGGCCTGACATTTAGGCAGCAAAAAAAATATCTCCCTCTTGTCAATCCAAATCCAGCAGGATCTTCTTTAGCCAGCTGTTGGAGAATAGGCTAAAAAAAGGCCAGGAAAATGAGCAGGACAAGGAAAAAATGTTTTATACCAAGAATCTTTTCCCTTTTCTTGCCGGGATTTTTAAGGTACCTTTGTATTGTAGGACCCTTGATCTGGGTGTCTCTTGAAAGTGGTACTGTAGGAGCTTGATCAGCTTTTCATCAAGAATATTTGTTTCTAGCAAACCACCTGTAAAACAAGGTCTGAAACAAGTGACTTCATCCTTCCCCTCCCCAGATCTCAAGCGGAGAAAGGAGGGAGCCTTTTCAAATTTTGGTACCATGCAGTGCCACTGTGTGCATCCTTTTCCCTGGGTCCTCCTTCTTTCTGACCTATTTCTCTGGGCTGTGGTCTCCTGAGGTCATACGTGTCCCTTCTTAAATGGGTATACCACATCTGGCACCATGGATTCTCAGCCTCACTTAACTCCGCAGGATGTTACTGTGCTAATAAAGAGAGAGGAGTATGGACAGCCATCCTGACCTACACGTACAAAGTGCTCAGAAGAGGACAACGTTCACAAAGTACACACCCATGCGTCTTCCTTTCATCTGTATCGGTGTTTTTCCTCCACCAGGAGAACAGAGCAAGGGAGGAGAAAATGAGGGAAGGTCCGGGGAAGGACCTGCCTGACTGGAAACATGTGCATTGCTGGGATTGCTGGAAGCCCCTGCTTCTAGCCTAGGATCAGTCTGCATCGCTGTGCTACTTGGCCAACCCAGCGTAGCATCGCATTTTTCACACTTCTCCGTGAACCAGACCCAAAATGAACACCTGCACTCAGCACAAGGGGTCTCAGCGTGGGGAGCAACTTCCACCCCAGGAAGGTCCAAATTCTTCAATGCAGCCAGTCATGCCAAAATGTGAGAAGGCGAGGAGAGATGCATTTGACAGCACAAGATCAGTAAAAAAGGTGATTGCTGTGTTGTGTTCTTCTGGTTCCTATGTGGACAGATGCTGTATCTAGATGGCCAGATGCATGAGACCCTCCTGGGCTTGGCTAGTACAGACATTCATTACAGACGTGGCCTCGCCTGTTGACACTCCAGGAATGGAAACAAAGTATTTGAGGCCAGCAGCCACTGAGTAGGGGAATGTTAACTACATAAAAATTTGCCTATCTGTCCAAGTGAGAAAAACAGCACCTGAATCACACAGCATGAGTCTGGCCCACTAGAAAGCTTTTTTCCCCACCAGTTACTGACAAGAAGTAATTTTAAAATTACTTATAGATCCGAAGTGGGGTGGAAAGCATTAGTACCAGGTCTGGGAGCAGAAGTTAAAAGGAGAACAATGAAACAGGGTGATACAGCAGAGGTGCAAGGTTTTGCTTCCCTGCTGTGACAGCCTTGAAGGCTTTGATTCTGCCATCGAGGATGCACAGCACATTGCGGAGTATCTTGCCACATCGTCATGCCACAGCTCATTGAGGGATGGGAGCTGCATAGTATAAGGGCAGAAGAGCTCAGTTCTTGAAAGGGTTTTTTGTTGTAATGTATCTGCTTTGGCACCTCTTTCTGGGAGAAAACTAAAAATAGCCCCTTTTTGCAAACATTAGCAAAGAGGGGAGCTTTGTGCACAACAGCAGTTGTCCTTTGAAAACAAGGCTACTGCATGTTCTCCACGTGTCAGGGCAAAGCAAGGTGATTCCCAACTTGGACATCTCAGTAAAATGCCTTCTGGGAGACAGAACAACCCTGGGATTGTGAGTCGTTTCTCTTCCCCTACATCTCTCTGGCACTGCCTGTCTTATTGCAGAGCACTTGCCTAGAGGTTTTCAGGACTGGGTATTTAGTTTCTTAGAAATGCAGAAAAAACGAACTCCTCCCTTTGTAGTGACCCCCCGCCCCCCCATGCAATACTTGCAGGAGTCCATGGACTCATGCAGAAAATAGTTTTACTGTGGGTCAGTGTGTTTTTGCCAGAGTTTTGTTTTTGAAGAGAGCTGGGTTCTTGATAATCAGAAAGGTTGTTGCTCTCTTGCAGAAAACTTCACCACAGTGAAAAATTCTGGGAAAAAAAACCCCAACTATTTTGACTGACAGCAGTGATTTGGTTTTGGTTTGAAGAGCCAACCCAGCCAGGCTGCAGGGGTTGCAGTTCTGTTACCTGTCATCCCCGCCGGGATGGGTCTATCCAGCTCAGCAATGTCTCTGACAAGTTGCTTAGAAGGAGACACCTTCTTCCCTCCCCAAGCCCAGGAACTCTGAAGAACCTGGGAGATGTAGCAGAGGAACAGGAGACATCCTAAGCAGGGGTCCCGCGCGTCACTGCGACAACATGGCCATGCTTAACTTATTATTATTTTTAATAGCAGTTTTTCTCAGGTACTGGTGTAATGTTATTCAGACTTCCTATGAAAATCATAATTGTCTGGAGGGAAAAACATTTCTGAAACAGCTCTCATTAACATATACAGCCGCACTTTGCCCCAGCAATTATCAGGCATGAAAGCAAAAGGCTGCACATTCTGCCAAATCTTTAAACTTCTCTCTTCGGTGCCCATCCCTGAAATCAAATGATTCCCTATTTAGGTATCTCTGGAATGCTTATAAATATCTTATGAGTTCTTTACGCCACAACTAATGGACAGAAAACTTGTCAAATGTGGCAGCGGTGAAATACCACATGAATTCCTAGCTGAAATACCCTCCTGCTAGAGTTCATGTGTAAATGCAGTGCCATCTTTTATCCAGAAACATCATTTGTCATATTACACTCCTGCTAGTTTTCCTCCTAACCCCTAGATAGATGGCTTATTTAGAGAAACCCAAGCTATTGATGGCAGCAAATGGAATTATTCATATGTGTTGTGTAAAAGAATACATCTGAGCTCTCTCAAAATCCTTTTTCTTTTTCCCAGCAATGTCTGAAACAATCTCTGAAAATGAAATAAATAGAATGTTCTGGGGAGTGAAAGAAGAAAGCAAATGTAATGCTTTCAAGCTAAACCTTCCTTCTTTTTTTCCCCTACAAATTGCTGGATGCTGCTGTGAAACTCATCCCTTGGATGTGAGAATGAGTGTAGAGAAAGAAGGTGGATCCTAAGCCATGTCCTGTTTGTTTAACGCCTCTTCTCAACATTCCCAAGCATCTCCTGGCCGTGTCTCCTCTGCCACATGAAGAGAAGGCCCTGGAGGGGTTTATGCATGTCGAGTCCCATGACACGCATGCTTTCTCTGGATGCTTCCAGCTTGCTCAGGCTTGGATGGTCTTGCATCGCGCTGATAAGACCTGAGCTGCTGTGTCCTCAGCCTCCCCTGGGAGCAGGTTTCCAGAAAGTACGTTCGGAGCATGGTGGGGTTCCCCTTCCAGAGAGCTCCTTCAGGGTCTTGCACCTTGTTTTCACTGGTGAATTCACTGGTCATCGCAGTGCTCTTGTGAGGTGGGGAAACGGTATTTTCTGCATTCTGCATCTGGGGAACTGAAGAAAACTGTGCAGTACATGTCTTGCCCAAGCTCATCTAGGGATGTGTTGTGGATCCGGGAATGTCATCCTGGTTTCTTTTGTCCTGTGGCACGTGCTTAGAAGAACACAGGGACATGGGATAAGGTCACAGGGAA